TTGTTAAATATTTTCTAAAATATAGGAGCAATTTCTATTAGCTTGTTAGGATTAAATCGTTTTATTTTCTTTATCATATCTATAAATGTTTATTAATATTATTACTAATGTATTATATGTTGCTATAATAAGTTTATTTTATTTTATTTGCATTATCTATAAATGTAATTTTTATTATTAATGGTGTGTTGTATTGTAGGTAATGTCAGGATAACTTTATCTTATTTTCAATACAATATTTACAAATGTATATTGCTATTATTACTGATGGGTTACATCAGATGTAATGCCAGGATAAATAGGTTTTATTTTCTTTATAATATCTATAAATGTTAATTATTCTAATTTTACTACTGTATTTTATTGCATGCAATGCCAGGATAAATTTGTTTTATTTTCTTTACAAATGTATATTATTGTATGTAATGAAGACCAACTTCCATCTGTATGTCTGAGACTGTTACAGATTATTTTTATTTATATTTTTTTTATTCATAAATTGTTAATGTCGAATTTGGTTTGTATGTCAATATAATGTTTGTTTTCATAGTGATATTCCCCTCCATCACCGAATAGTAATAAACTGGCTAACTTATAAAATTTTAATTTATTAACATCCTAGTATATAATTTTCAATATTTGAATGAGGGGAGTCCGCCTTGGATTTTGTTATGTGAAAGGGGTCCAATGACTAAAGGTTTGGGAAGTACTGCACTTCAATAACAGTGCTGGTAATGAGAACGTTCAAACTCGGAAAACTGAATATTGGAGCTTTCTTCCAACAAAAAAATGCTTTTATGGAAATGAATGCTATTAAAGCCTTAAAATATAAGACATTAAAAAGTTCTTCAATAAATTCCTGAAGAAGAAAAGTTTTTACAATTCTTGATATCATGGCCAACATGTAAAAAGAACAGATCCTGGTGAGAAAGACTAGAGTAAAATCATGCTTTAATGCTGCTTTAAAAAACTTAATGTTTACTTTATTTCACTATTCTGCCTTTTCCTGACAATTTTTATTAGAAAATACAACCTTTATATCACTTTTGGTTGAAATGTTTTGAAAATCCATGAGTTTAGTGATGAAAGGGCTCATGCATGTCCACTACAGAAAAATTTCTTCAAATAAGCTGCAAATTCTTAAAAAAAATCATACAAATTCATCATACTTGAGGTTATTATCTTGTATTATTATTCATTTAAAGAGGAAAAAATGAACGGTGAGAAGTAAGAAAGTCTTTGTGATCTCGTGTAAAATTAGGAAAAGTGGACATGTGCCCTCTTTCAAACCTAATTGATTGAATTTATTTTATTAATTAATTTTAATTTTCTTAATTATTTAATAAAAAAGACGTACAAATTAATCACAAATTTAAAATTATTTATTACTGCATTAATACACTGACAGGCAAAAATTCCACTCAATTGATTTTTTTTTTTTTTCATTTTTTCGATAAAAGAAAATTCTGCTCTTAATTTGTCTCATTGTTTTATCAATAAATATGTGTTCAAGCTGTTTTAAATTGAGAATATCATTTAAAGGTAAACACGCTTAATTCTTAATCCAAAAGAAGGATAAAGGATTTTTCAATGTTTACTTTTTACGAAATTTAAATGTTTATTCAGTTTCATTTGAATTCTGAAGCAATAAACTGTTCAGTTTTCATCTTTTTCTTAATTTCAATTTTTAACTTAAAAATGCCACATAGTACTGAGGATGTTGCCCGTGGTGTGGCCCTTATTCATGATGGACATTCCATCAGGGATGCGGCAACTGCCATCGGGGTTCCCTACAAAACTCTGCTCGATGCTGTTAAACTGTTATGAGAAACTGAGTCCTACCGTAGAATGCCTGGTTCTGGACGCCCTAAAGTAACAGAAACACAGGATGACCGGTTTTTTTTTTTTATTTATTTATTTTTTGAGAATTTTGGCAACTGGCACCTTACTTTTGTTCAAGCAATTCACCAGCTCCAGGAAGTTCGAGGTGTCCAAATTTCTGAATGCACTGCTCGAAGAAGATTAAATCAGTATGGACTGATGGCTTTTTGCCCTGTAAAAGGACCAGAACACAAGAGTTGGGCGTGAAAGAGTGTGGAAATGGCAAAAAGAAAGGTACAAAGCTTTAATTTTTCCCATAGTAAACCTTTCCAACGTAGTTCAGTAATGGTGTGGGCAGGAATTTCAAAGGAGTCACGCAGAGTTAGTTGTTCGTGGAGGGTCTTTGACAATCACTCGCTATATGCATAAAATTTTCGAACATCATGCGTTGCCTATCCTCGATGAAATCAGCGACAATCCTATTCTAATGCATGATAATGCCCGCCCACATGTCGCTTGCATAGTAAAAACGTACATTCAACAGCATAATATCAGGGTCTTAGCCTGGCCAGCGCTTTCTCCAGGCTTGAACCCCATCGAACATTTACGGGACAACCTCAAAAGATGAATAAGTGCACGTCCATAACTTTCTTATACACTCCACGATCTTTAAAGGACTCTTCGTGAAGAGTGGGCTAACCTCGAGCAAAGAGACATTTCCAGTCTGGTAGAAAGTATGCCAAGGTGTCTTTGAGATGTAATTAAGGCAAGAGGAGGAAGTTCGCGATATTGAAATGTTAATTAAAATCTAAAACAAAATTAACATTTTTTTATCTGTCCGTCCTTTTTTTTCTTTCTTTTCCTTGGCAATTTACATTTTTTTTTTTTACTTTTTTAGACAAAGACTCATTTATTAAAGGCTAAAAAACGTGAAATTTAATTAATAATATAAAAATAAATACAAATCAAGTAATATTACAAGTGGGCGGAATTTTTTGCCTGTCAGTGTATGTATAGTTGTGTTGAAATTAACGGTTTTCGCATGTTCAAAATTGAGCGCCAATAAAAACGAGATTCTCATTGGAACGTCACAATCGTTGGCGGGTGATCGGTGGGAATCGTGTCAGTTCATGTCGAGACGTGTTCAGGCATTTGTCTTTTTTTCGTCAACAACAAATTCGTAAGTAAAACCGTATTTTACAAAAAGAGAATTATTTTGTCAAAGCAGAAAATGGAATTTTTTTCCAAATTGGCCTTACCTTGAGTTGAGCTCCGTCCAAACCCGATTCGATGTAACTGCTGCAGAAGGGTTCCGGACGCGGCACTCGCGCTTTAACTGTTTTAATTGATTACGGTCACAAATAAAATGAAAGGAAACTAATGAGGAAATTTAAAAAAAAATTACTCGAAGGAAGTAATAATATTGGGGGCGATTTGAGGTTAGCGGAGTGTAGGAAGGAAAATCTAGAATAGCAGGGGTAAAACACTAAAAACAGGATGGAATCTAAAAGGAGGCAATAACGATGATTATTATTAATAATAATAATAATAATAATAGTAATTACTAGAAGGGAGATAATCGGAAGCAAGTTTCACGATGGTAGCGGATCGGGAGCAAAACCGACAATGAAAAATGGCGGAATCGAGGGGACGAAAAAACGGAGTAGGGCGAGAGGGTTAAAGAATTGGCGGGAACAAGTTTAAATTAACGTATTTTATTTCAAATGAAACCTTGATTTGTTGTGCAAATGCGTGTACAAATAAATCAAATAGTTACAAATAGAGGAAAACAAAAAATAACTTTTTTCGAACTCTTTCGCTTACAATTAATACACTGTGGATCAAAAAAGCACTGGCGTACCCCACTTTTTCCAAAAATCTCAATAGGCATAAGATATTTTCCATAAATAACATTTATTTTAAATTTGGCCCTTTACAATAATTTAGAAGCAATGAATATTTGGAAATCAAAAAGTGATTTTAAAATATAAGTAAAATGTAAATTTTGAGGGTCAAAAAAATAATGGCACAGTTCAAATGTTTACCATTAGCTCCAATAGATTAGAAATGATAATACATAGTATAGTATGTGTTGAGGTGAATGTATTTATTGGCAGGAGTGTGATGTGAGAGGGGCGATGTTGGAATATTTACTACCCAATGACCCTCAATTAGGCTACTTGTATATGTGTAACGGGTGACAGAGGAATATTGAGCACTCCTTCACCCTAACTGACTGAATGTATGTATGTAAATAGGAGTGCATTTAAGAATGAATGGGTTTGGAACCATGCGTTGGGTACTGAATTGACCTAGCTGTTCTCAGCACCCCTCTTGTGTACCCAACCATGGTATAAGACTGAGGTCTGCCAACACCGGGGTGTGTGATTCTCATGTCTGCTGGCAATTTACTGTAAACAGAAAAAGTTGGAATTGCCGGTGGACTACAAGACGCCAGTAGGTTCAACTTGGCATGTGTTTCTATATAAACATGTATATGAGCCTACACAAATCCAAATCCAATAATATAATGACAACAATTAAACTCAGTCTTTATCATAGCAATATGAAAATATTTTTTACAAAATTGTTGATTGTTTAAAACTGAAACTTAAAATAAAATTAAGTGTATTAATACTTTTTTGATCCACTGTAATATGTGACATATAAACACTAAACAAATAAATAATTAATCTTTATGTAAGGTCTTGGTTGAAATAAACAAGCCAGTGTCATGAGCGGGATTCGAACCCTTGGCTAAATACGCCGCTGCTCTACCACTTGAGCTATCGTGACTTCATTCCACTCGGACACCAACTTCCCATCTCAACCCACCTTTTGAATTTTGCCCCCTTTTTGCCATTTTTTGAATGTCGTGTAATCAGCATTCGATTCTCGACAACAAATGAAATGGCCACAGAGCATTGAATATAAATAATTCAAATTTTGAAGTATTAAAAGTCCATGGAATGTTGTCGATAACTGATTTTAAAAACTATACCCTTCTAAATGACAGACAAATTTGTACTTTTTTATTATATAGTTGCCCCCTATTTTGTTTACTCTTTTATTTACATGGTAACAACAAGAAAATGATGACAAATAATCTAAAATGCAAAGAATGAGAAGCAGGGTGATAGCACTTTTTGTTAATCTTTGCTAAACCAGTTTCACAGCCGTTCATATTACAAAACCAAATTTATTTTGAGTAAAAACATATTAAATGGTTAACTGAAACAAGGATTCAAAAATCATAAAGCCAGATTTTATAAAAAAGATTAGATTTGTGCGTCAACGTAACACATTATTAATTTAAGTCAAAATCCTGTTTGATGATCACATATGAATCTCAAAAAAATCAAATTACAAATATCTCAGCTATAAGTAGATAAATCTATAGAAAAATCTCAGTTTATAATCAAGAAAAGTACATAAAAAAATATATAATGGAAGAAAATCAGTAAAATATTAAATATCATTTCTCCTTTTGCAATTTTTTTCCTCCAGGAATGTGAAAATACATTAATGATAATAAACATACACAGAAAGAAAATATAACACATGTGCACTAAAAGAAAAAAAAGAAGAGGGTTGTGATGCCCATGTCTCTTCATGTTGTCGTTATAGATAAAAAAAAGGATAATCACACACACAAAATAGAATTGTGAATAACATAAGTGAAAAAGCTTAAACGTTGGGTCCTAGTGAACACAATTTTTCAGAAAATAAATTGACTACCAAGTATGGTTTTGATATTTTTTTTACGCAATTTGACGACAATAAGTCGAATCGAAGGTACAATTGAAAACCGTTTTGGTTGTAAAATATAAAAGAAAAACTCAGTCTCAATATCCCCCTGAATGTCAAAACGAAAGAACTCTATTGCAGTTTTTTCAGCAAATCTAATAAATGCCCTGAAAATAAAATTTTTATTCTCACAACCATCAAATTATTGCTTTTCTTTAAAAAAAAAAAAAAAAAAAAAAATTAGAGTTGGCACTATTTCTTTTAAATAAATTTAATTTACACACCTTATTAACTAATTATTTTGATATTAACAACTTGTTTTTTATTAACATCAGAAACAATTTGATGGTAGAGAAATTCCTAAATTCCCCAACAGTATTACACAAGTGAGTATTTTATAAGTCTGTGCCCTGAATTCAATTGTCATTCTGTTCAGGGACAACCTTCAAAGGAACTTCTGTATATGTTGGAAATTCGATAGCCTCGACGACATTTTCAACCTAAAGAAAACACAATTAAGATAATCAAAATAAATTACAATTTATAAAAGTACAACCTTGAAAGATGGATAGAGTGCATCTTGATTCGTCCTCAAATTCCTTCCTTTTGAGTAACCGTCCCAGTGGTTGCCCGCGACCCCGACAATATCACCGACCTCAAGGTCCATCTGATCGGGCGAGTTGGCCCTATGACTCATAACTGCAACTTGTCTAAAATATAAAATTGGATATTTTTAAATTGGCCGTTGTTGATAAACTAATATCATGTTACCTGTGTATGCCTTGCCCGCCGTAGTAATATATGTCATCTAAAGATCTGAATCTTGATGCAGCATCAGGATGCAGCGACTGCATTATTTCATAAGCAACTCGACAGACCTACAATGTAATTTATATTATGGTGTTTTGGTAGTAGGGTTGGAATAGATCAAAAGATAGAGCAGAACTATGGGCGTCAGGTTCAGATCAGCTTTTGACAAAAGAAATGTTGCGGTTGTTGTGGATACTGAGGTTAGTGATGTAGTAAGAAGCATTGACAATTTGTCTGAGGACTTTTAATTGGTGGAAGGATTAGATGCGCTGGATGTTAGATAGTTAGGAAGAACCCTACAGTTCCGCTCCATACGTCCAAATTTGTCACAGTCAAATAATAAGGGTAGTTTAGTGTTGATGATCAACATGGATTTTGCTCCTACACGACTTCTACGTACATAGTAAGAAGAATTGACAAGCTTTGAAAACTTTTCATTGGAAGAATTGGATGCACTGGAGATTGAATGGGATTCCAGTTCCATTGCTGTCCACGAAGTATGTCTATTGTGTACGTACAGTCTTAAGTATCTGACTTTGGAAGTCAGTGTAAGTGTACATTTTCCTCATTCAGTCTTTTCCTCCACTTTTTCCACCAGTCAAATAGGTGGCATTGGATGTTGGAAGTTTCTTGTATACGTCCACTGTCTGTGGACTAAAGTCCCAAGTATCTGACTTGAGTGGAAGTCAGTATCTCTTTATTGTCGATGCACAGTATACATTTTCCTAATTCAGTCTTGTGCTCCACTTTTTGCAGCAGTCAAGCTCAAGGTGTAAGACATACAAGGTTATTTACATACGATTCAGGTTAGAAGATAAACTTGCGATATCATCAGCATGGGTGGTAATGGTGTATTGCGATGTGCAAAAAAGGCAGCAGTAAAAATGGTAAACACGGTGGAACCAAGAATGCTCCCTTGAGAGATTCCAAACTTTTCCGGTTGATATCAGTGTATGCAGCTGCACCTCACTCTGAAGCAGAAGTCAGTTAAATAGGATTCAAGGATAAAGAGAAAGTAGGTTTTAGTTTACAGAGGGGCCCTGGTGGCGCTTTGAAAGCCTGGGTCACATCCAGAAATTTATATATGCAATACTCTTTGGAAATGGTGTCAAAAGCTCAGAAACTTAGCAAGATGGTGGATAATGTTGGACACCATAGGAAGAAGGCTCAGGGATTTGTAGAAGCAGATGTGATAGGTTGGAGAGGTTTATGAATGAGATGACAATATCATAAGGAAGGAAAGAGAATGGTACTTAAGACAGCACTGAATATTGTTATTTTTCTGGGGGATTTTTGACTGTTACATTTGTGTATGAAGCACTAAACATTAGTTTAGAGCTAATTGATTTAGTAATAGTAGTATAGTACTATCAGAATATTTTAACAAATTAATAGGTGCTAAAAATTTTAATATACCTGAGAAGAAAATGTACAAACGAGATAATCAGACTGAGACAAGAAGTATATATCCATAATGATTCCATTTAATGAATTGTCCGAGTATCTAGTCGAGACTGCTGCTGTTTTTGCAATTTTCGGATCACCAATAACTTCATAATCAGGATACCTAAAGACATTGTACAAGAATGCAACAATGTTTTTATATATATACTCATATAATATATACTTTTTCTTTATTTCTGCAAAAACATTGACATCATCAGATGCCAAGTAGACACGTTTAATGGGTACAGGTTGCGATAAGGAAAGGATTTTGAAATATTCCTCTACGTGCGACATATATTCTTCGACATGATGAAAGGCTGCTTCTGTCCCAACTTTATCTGTCCTTCTTATGTGTACTCCAACGATGGGATGCTGGAACTTAAAATTGACCGCTGCTTTTTGAAGCATATCAGTCGTCGCGGGCTGTGGTCGTAAAAGGTACTTGAGAAACTGGCCGACCCACCATACAGAAGGGTCGCCATGGAGTCGTTCAATGCGTTCAGCGAGATCTTTTGGTACGGCAAGTGGCAAATAAGGAGGCCTTGGTGAAACAGAATCTATTATGCCTAAAAGGACGGCTGGGGAATTAGGAGTCCCTGAAATAATAAAAACGTTCAAAACATTGTATTTTTTATAATTTAGGTAAATAAGTTTACCTGGCCAAGGAGTAATGGGGGATTTAACTTCTCTGCATGTATCACTGACAGGTTGGAATACTTGTTCCCAACCATTTTTATTATAGCGCCATCCTCTTGATTGGAGTATTAAAGTCCTTTCTGTACCAAATGCTACCAATAAGCAATATACAGCATGATGAAGCTGACACCCATAACCACAACCCTAAAAAATGATTCTTTACGAAAAGAAATTTTAACGATCTAACAAGGGGAGGCTATGGATGTGAGATCACTGATTTAAATGAAACTTTTTTGGGGGATACTAAGTTGAAAAATTTAGACTAAGGACTTTTGGTTTTTGCAACTTTTTATCTATCTAGCCTTATTTACTCTTCCATACTAGTTTCTTATCCTAAATAAAAATACAAATTTACTGATGTTATCCTTGAAATATATTTACCACAAAGACAAAGAACATATTTTTTTAATTACTTAAATTACCTACATTTTTTCTCCAATTTTCAAGAACACTTGAAGGCATGTCTAATATTTTTGACCTAGTAATTTTTTGTTAAAAAATGATGATCCCATGCCCATAGCGTCCCCTTTGTAAGTAAAATTTCACCTTGTTCAGCTTGCAGATCAGCTTTTTGGCACTATCACAATCAGTTGGGTTTTGCAAGTAGGAAATCCTCCTTTGTACGAGGTCTGAAAGTTCGAAAGCCTCTTTCAACCTCCAGCCCGCGAACCCATCCAATTCACCCAGGCGAGACACATCTTTTAAAAGAGACCTCTTGTGCTCAACTCCTTCTTCGAGTATCTTATTCAAATGAGTCGCAAGCTGAGGGGAAGACTTTGACTTTTGAATCTGCTTCACCTGGCTGCTTATAAAATACCACATCTCTTCTACTCCCATCTGTAGACGTCTCCTGAGTTTTTCATATTCGAGGGATGGTTTTTTATCTCTTCGTCCTTCGATGTCATAAATATATGTACACTTTTTACAAACTTTTTTATACAAATTACATACCCCTGACAAAATCGTTTAGGTCAAAACCCTGCTGATTTTCAGATAGCATAGTTTTGTCTTGAATATTTTTCAAAATGGATTCTTTTTCATCCTGTCTCAGAGGAAGATTTCTAAGTAGATACAAACAAAAATTACAAAATATTTGAAAGTCCAAAATCTATAATAAATTTCCTACAATCCAGGGCATGCAAAATAAAACTTTGAATGAGTTAAGAGTTAAGATTTTTAGACCCTTGATAACTTTATGGATCGGTGATTTGGTAGACAAAGACATTACAAAAGAGGAGAGTCAGGATCCTCAGTTTTGCTCAGAGGTATACTGGAGCAATGAGAAAGTCCCCTACTGCCCTGGAAGTCCTCCTGCATTTATCACCACTATATTTCTTTATCCAAAGAGAGGCTAAAGCGAAAATTCACTGGCTAATCAAGAAACAGGCTACAACAGCCTACTCGCATAATAAGGAGAAATTAAAGCTTCAGGAGGAACTTTAGGCAGAGGACAGGGATATAGATGACTGAAGACTGAAGGAGAAAGAGATCCAAGTTAATGCTGACCGTATCTGGTATAATGGCCCTAAGATTGAGTATAGTGCCAGGAATATCTGGAAATAAACAAGGACTGAAATTCAAATAATAATTCAATCAAATAATTTCAGACAAAGACTGTAGTATCAAAAGGCTAGGTTATTACAAGTAAAAGAATGGCCATCTACTCAGGCAGCAAGGTGGCACTAAAGACAATTACTGTATTGATTGTAAAGTCTAGTGCCGTTTGGAAACCAGCTCACAAAAAGCAGAATTTCAATAAGGAAGCTGATAAATTGGCCAAAATCATAGAGCCATCGGACAATGGTTTAAGAATAAGTCCGGGACAGAGGCAACTAAAACTTCATAAAAGGACCAACACAGAAACTATCATCAGAACTAGGCCTAGAATGAGTGCAGAAGAAGAAAAAAGTGTATTGCCAAGAAGAAGAAAAAAAAACTGAGGAGCATGTCTTATATTTTGGCCAACTATCCTCACCATTTGATCGCACGTTTCAGTTGCTTCCTATCTTCAGTTTTTTTAAAATAACAATTCTGGTTAAAAATCCATTGCTGAATATGGCAAGAAACCAAAACATTCAGAAAGGACAAAACTAACACAGATCTCATGTAGAAAGCTCATAACTTAAGGGTGAAAGTTAAATAGAATTGGCAGTAGAGTTTGTAGTGAGCCAGACAACAATAACTAACCATTTAATTACAAAATCCTATTTAAATTTAACTGGAGATACAAAAAATTTTATAGGAAGGCCAAATTGTGACGACTGTGTTATATTTTGTCACAGTAAAAAATTACTAGAAAACAAAATTTGGTTGTTACCGATCATTTTCTGATGGGTCTGTCACAAACATTCAATGCCTACTAATCATTTGATAAATGGCATGAAATGTGAATTTCATTGTTTTCTTCTAGTTTAAAAAACAAAACAAAAACATGATTTTCTCCAAGCACAATAACTTAAGTTGCATGCATTATATTTCATTGTTATAAAGCCAAAATCAAGGGGTAAATCATACCCCGAGTTGTAGTCGGTGAGCAGCTTGCTGATTTCCTCCCTCTGGCGGTGGAGGGACTGGAGATCGCGCAGTGCCTGCGATATCCTCATGTTGGTCTGCTGGTCGGGTTCGTGCCTTAAGAAACCGAGGGCGATAACTAGGAAAATGAGCCAGAGTAGAAGGAGTAGGATCATGCTACGCCCCCAGGGGAACTGCCTCATCATTTTGGCCATTTTACCTGGCGAAAGATCAAAGTTAAGAACGCTTGAATGAAAACGATGATCGAAGGCACTGCAAATACATAAACATGCCGGGATTGTAAAAAGTGTTCCGCTCGCACGAGGCAAAACAAACAAGCTTTCAAAGAAAAATAAGTGCCCCTTTGCACAAACACATTTGTTAAAAAGGCACAAACAAGTCTGTTTACTAAGCTTAATGTACATAAGCTTGCGGAGAAAATGATCGGACAATATGTCACAGTTTAATTAAATCTGTTCTTGGAAAATAAATTTCCCTGAAAATATTGAATGCACACAGACAAACAAATACACAAATAGTTATATTTTAACCATTAAATATTAGGGTAGAGTATAAATAAAAGGGTGCACCTTTTGCTACAATTTTATTTATGTAGTCACTTCCTACAACAAATAATATCTGAAAGCAAACATGAGAGTACATTATAGTTATTATTACTACAGCCATTAACATTGATGGTACAGTAGAGGTAAAAATCTATTATAATTTTATTTTTAGATCTTGGAGTCTATTAAGAGCAATTGAATTTGAAACTAAAGATATCAAAGATTATGGTCGATAGGAGAGGGGTTAATTTGAGTTAGATAGATTGTTGGTTTTTTAAAGGTGAGAGAACTGATTAGAAAAGGAATGTATCTTGGTGTGACACTCAACCCCACCTTTCATTTCCAAACAACTAGAACAGAAAATATCTATTGCAAAACTTGCCCGCAATAAAACATAGGAGCCGATTATATATCACGGAATTTTATACTATTTGCTGCAATTCAATCATCGTTCAATACTATGTTATGACTGGCAAGTGTGGGATTTCCATAGATTTAAAACGATAGAAATAGTACAACAGATTTTTGTAAGTAAATTGTTCTCATTATCTCAGGCCAGCCACATCTCAATTATTTTCTTTATTTTAAGATAAATGTAATTTTTGCTTATAATTTTACTCTGCTCTTCTCGTTTGTTCTGAAATCTCTTATGTCCCTTTTATGGCAAAAATAATGGCATTAAAAATTATCTCCCCCAATATTCCTGGTTTGATGCGTTTTATCGCAGAAATGTAACATCCCACCTAGAAGAGTGCTTCAAATGTAACATCCCACCTAGAAGAGTGCTTCAAACCTCTGCCACACCTAAATTGGTATAAAGATCTACACTCTGGGTAACTTAATTTTAAGTCAGACAGCTTTCAGGGTTTCTTTTTATCAGATTTTCAGTGTTATTGAAAATTACGTGCAAGCTAATACATTTACACTTTACCAACGACAAGGAAAGAATGGGTTGTGCTCATATAATAATTTACAAAGTCCCAAGCGTTGTTTTCCACTTTCTGGTTAAATGTAGTATACTAGGTGAAATAAGACTTGGGTTCTTTTACAGTTATATCAAGATTAGTGGACTGTCAGAATAGTGTAAACATTTTAAATTCTTGGGCTGTCATGTGGTACTAGCATCAGACCTGGCTGTATATATACTACCTTTGGAGAAATTTAATTTCTTATAACTTAAAATAATACAATAATTACTCCTCTCCAAAATTCTTATTTTTATGCTCTTTTGTTGTACTTGTGTAAATGTTCAAATTTACTTAGTAAAATTGAAATTCTTGTGGTTTTTTAATTAATTACGTATTTCTTTATAACTGATTTATATAAGCTCAAATCTGCACATGTGTGTATATAAGCACATGTGCAAAGTTGAGCCTATCACCTCTTGCATACAATGAATCACATACAGGCCATGAGAATCACCCGCCTACAGTGTTAGCAGTCCAAGGTCAGAACTCGGTCTTATCTGTCCAGCTATCGAGGTTTGGGCTCTGGAAGCTGCCAACAGCTAGATTGTTTCAGCCCCCTTGCATGCAGTTCCAAACCCATTCGCACTCATTCTTAAAAACATTTTGTCCTATTTACATACCATTCATTCAATTAGGGTGATGGATTACGCATTATTTTTCCATCACTCTCTACGCACATTTTATAATTATTCTAATCGAGGGTCGATGGGTAGTAAATATTCCACTATCAACTGTCACACTAAACATTCAAGCTAATACATACATTCAGTCTACTAGGGACACAAAACAGTAATGTATAGTAAAACAAGCCTGTTTCATCCAGGAATCGGAACAGATATCCCCAGACACTCGCTACTCAAGCAAAACGCTCATATCGGGTGGCATTCCTATGCACTCTCTACATGGAGCTAAGGAATTACACCATCAAGCGACCTTCTTCTACTGGACACAAGCAAGCTTTGCCCTAAAGTGTCCATGTGTCAACCTCGCATGGCCCATTCTTTGTGTCAGGACAACCCTTCTTCTACATGTCAGGTCCTATGAAAGCCGTCTATGACAGTACTTTTGATATGTACCAATGCTGCCAGTTTTTTTTAAAATCATGTCCTTCATTGCATTGTGGGTGACCAAGACCCGAGGGGTTAAATGCCTGGGTAGACTTGAACCCCATCCCTAAAATGTCCGGCTGGTCGGCTCACAGTCCTGCATAAATCTTTTGGACTTATTCACAAACCCCAAGATTTTGGACCATTTTATCTCGGGGAGTGATTTGGTGATGTCCTCTCCTTCAAAGATTTCAAATCTAGACCTAGCATACCTATCACACTCTGCGAGGTAGTGCCTTGCCATTTCTTATTTTATTTCGCAAAAACGGCAAAAGGGATCTGGTAGAATACCCATTACAGAGAGGTGTCTTCTCAGTGGGCAGCGTCCCGTCAGGATACTTATCAGCCTCCTAATTCCCTTCTTTGAAATGGAGAATAGCTATTTCGATTCTGCTGGTTTGATCACCTTAACAAACTCTTTCGATTGCCTGTTCCGGGGGATAGATTCCACCCCTTAAGGAATTGTTTCATGCCCCAGTTTTTAATACTCTATTTCGCTGTGCTCATAGAGTGAGATAATACCGGTTGTGGCTCGACAAACGCAGTATTAGAGCCTTCTTTGGCCAGGCTAGCCTCTTCATTTCATAAAGTCCTTTATGTGCTGGCTTCATTGAATTTAGTATCAGAGGGCCAGATCGCAGTGATTATCTGAGGTTGGTACGTTCTTTGTGCAGATTAGGTAGGCAAAGCCACTTATTTCATTTATTATATTATTATTATATTTACGCTTTCTTTTTCCTTTCAATGACCTCCGGCAAACAGACAATGCCCATGCTATCCATGTGGGGGGGACGTTGTAACCAATAATGATTTGTTGTAAAACAAATATACAAACAAGAAAGAGAAAATGGCTATGTGGCTAGCAAATGCGAGGCTACTTTAGCCATTAAATTCCCAAGGTTTAACTAAAAATTAATTCAAATGTTTTAAATTGAATATTATATTAAAATATATAAAATTGTTTAGTATGAAGATGTGTTATTTCTGTATTTGAAGACTTTTTGTGTGAAGTACTCTCTTAGGAAAAAATATATATTTTGCATATTTAACTTAAACTAAGACAATATTGATTATAGTTACTACATAGATTTGCAGGCTTAAATAATCAAAAGTAAGTTAAACAAGCAATAACTAGCAGAAATGTATACCTTTGATCTTAGGCTTTGAGCATGAGATTCATTGCTGTCAGAAAGTGCACTCTTTTAATTTATGTACAATCAAAGGCAATTGTAGATGCATTTGAATCATTTTAAATCAGACGAGAAAATTATAAAAGGCAAGTTGTCGGATGTAATTGAAGAGTGTAGGAAAGCCAAGGACAGCACCAGATCACACTCCTCCAATTTGCTACTTGATCAAATCAAGAATTGCCATGGGGGTTTAACACGATAACACGACGTGGTACAAACAACTAACAAGATATCCAAATCTGGGGGTCGAACTGTCGAAGGAGGTTCAACGACAGTTAACAATATGCTACACACGCTGCCATCTGGCAGGGCATCATGTAATGTTTAAAAAGTGGGGATATTCGAAGTCTCAGGTGGAGATTTAAAGCTAAAATTTTAAGCTAACAGCTGTGTTAAAAGTGTAAAGTTTTTCCTCATATTTTTTTATTCATTTATATGGGTAAGTATACCCAGTTTTAAGTCCTATAAGTGGTTAAACTATGCATAAGTAATAACAATCATTAAATATATGGACATAGTCAAAATAACAAACTCAAATAAACTATTGTATTTGTCTTAATACACTTATGGAATAACAATACAAAAAATAAGCAAAAAGAGCAAATGTGTAATTCCACAATGGAAAGCATTCAACATATAACCCGAACGAATATCTAAGCCGATTTAAATGTGGCTAAGATTATCCCTAATGCATTATGCCGAAAATATCAAATGCGACAATCTGGGCGCTATGAATTACCCTATTACCAATATAAACTACCAGCACAGATGTAGAATGGTCACACCAAAATATGTATAAATATGGGATGCACAAGCAATAACAGGCAGGACTGTGATTCGCAATAAACTTGATATATTGGTAGTGGAAAAGAAAGCTAATCATACATCATAGATGTTGTGATACGTAATGATGAAAATACTCAAAAAAGCCAGGGTGAAAAAAGTGTCAAGACCTTAGTTTTGAACTGAAACAAATGTATAAGCTGGATAGAGTGCTCTTGTGATTGTACCAATAATATTTACAAGAAATTTGGTACCTAAAGCAACACTGACAGGTATTAGCGATATAGGCCTGCCAAGCAAACTAGTCATGGATGCGCAGAAGACAGTCGTGTTCGATACGGTTTGCAAGATAAGGAAGTTCTTAAATAGTTAAATAGCTATATACACAAAGTAATACTAAATACTACACATATATACACAAAGTAAGATAATTCAAAAACAGGGATTTTGACTAATCCCCCCTTAAAAAAATAATAATAATAAATATGTGCTGTGTAGAACAAAGGAGTGGCATCTTCTGGTTGTTGCTCCCTCTTTACAGCCTTTACACGACGAAGTGTATGCGATTTGGTACGTTCTCGGTGTGGTGCGAACTGAGGTTAACTAAAAACTATACCTCCCTTGTATGTACAGACTCTTTTAGAGCTGTTTGGGTTATGTGATACAGGTTCTCTTTGGACCTTCTTATCGTGCACTTGTTAGAGATTCGCCGAGCTGGAGCACTTCGGAAAAACAGTGGTGTTGTTTGGGGGAATCCCCACCACCCACCCCAAACTGGATCATCATGATCAGCCCGTCTGTTGCATTGAAAAACATGGTAAAAGAAAGATGGTAACATCGGTGGGCGGAGTCGTCCAAGAGGTTTGCGAGTTAAGAGCATGACCAGTAGATGGCCCTCAGAGAACCTGAGCCAGAAATGAGGGATCATCCTCATCCGATTGATGATTGGCCATACACGATTGACACATGGGCACTTACTTTTGGACCAAAGCCTGTGTACACAGAGAAAGGTTGCTCGACGTGTCCCACATAATAGTGGTGTGTGTAGCCATATGCCTTGGCTCCATACAGAAAGCATGTAGGTGTACCACCAGATTACAAAGTTCTTGAGTACAGCAGCTAGTTTCTGGGTCCCCTATTCCGTTTTGTACATGATGTGGGGGTATTTCATTGTATACACTTATATTCTATGTGTTTTGTCATTATGTGTTTTGTTTGAGTACATGCATTTATTAGCGTGAGGGGTGATGGTGAAATATAGAGTCACCATCGTCCCTCTATAGGTGTGTGTGTTTAGAGTTGATTGCAGAATATTTATAAAAGTATCTCATCAACCCTAATTTAGGTTTGATTATTAATACTGTGTATAGGTCGATGTAGGAATATCGAATTCTCCACCGACTAATCAGAATGTTAAAATGCATGAATGTATTTATATGTATAAATGTATTTATTTGTGCGACTGATTTATCCAATTTAAGTAGTATTGGGGGCTAGATTATAGTTTTCATACATTTAAGGCTGAAATGATGAATTAGCAGTCAATAGCCTTAACCCCGTTGGTAGGGAAGCAATAATCTCCTGAGCATTTAGCTTAAGGGAGATACTAGCAACCCAGCCACATAATGGGGTCGGTGAACTCCCTGACGTATAGACACTAAGGCCAGTACATGGAAGAGTGACAGCCCTTTTGGGTGAAAGTTCTGTTATAAAGTTATATAAAAGAATGTATGGATTGGATATCCATCAGCCGTAGAGTGCATAGTACACATAATAATAAAATAAAAATAATCAATAAAATGAATACAGAAGAAAACTAACATAAAAAAGCAACATAGCAATATTATATACAAAAAAGAATTACTACCTTCAAACATTGAAAAAAAAAAAAAAAAGTTAAACTAAAAATATATATAGTACAAAAGAATGTTTAATACGATCAACAATAATTTATTTTAGATTTATTTTACGTTTGTTATAGCCAATTAAGGCATAGAGAGGAGGTTGTTTTAATACAACATAATATCTAAATAAAGCAAACATAACATAAAACAAATAGGATGAACATTACATTGAAATTATATTGAACATGTGTATGAATATAATAAAATAGCAAAAGAAGAAAAGATAATAAATCAAATAGCATTTAATTTGTGAGGAGTTTCTTTAACCTGAAACTTTCTATTATGAAAGAAAGATTGCAATAATTTTGTTGTGTTTTATTTTATTATTATTATTTTTTTTTTTTTTGGTGCTTTTATGAGATTTTTTTTTCCAGAAAAAGACGATTTTCCACAACGTTTCAGCAAATTGCCATTTCATGTGAGTATTTATTCTTACAAATTATCACAATTTCTACAATTATATATCCAACAATAATTATTTACAAAATATCTTATAAAGAGTTTTATATCCTATTAAAATCGTTAAATAGAAGATATGATTAAAATTGTTATTAGCACAACAATCTTCTGCTCAAGTCAATGTTTAAAACTTTATTCGTTTGTCACCATAGTGGTAAGTTTAGGGCATAAATTTAATACAAAACCAAAAAATGTCATTAACAATATTAAACAAGTAACAAAATATGTTGCATATGAATTGAATCCCATCAGTAAAGATATCCATGAGCGACATTCAAATAAGTTAAGAATAAACAACATCATCAATTAAAAAAACCCACATATTTATAAAAATACAACAAATTAATTTTTCAATTTCATTTTTTTTTTTTTTTTTAATTGATAGAGATGAAGCTTCAAGACAACAATTTTTAAAGAAATAATTTATTGAAATCGTGGGTAGTGGTCAAGAATGAGGTAGTTTAGTAGAAAAACACCTTATTTTCCCCACAGGGTTTGCGTAATTTACAAAACATGTGTTGATTGTAAAAAATACCATTTAAGATGTAAATATAAGTATAGATGAAAGACTTGGATCAAAATTTATATTTACATCTTAAATTGTATTTTTTTCAATCAGCAAATGTTTTGCAATTTACCCAGGCCATGAAGATGACCCAAATAAATGTCGAACGTCAGCAAAAAAAAAATGTGTTTTTCTAAACTACCTCATTCTTGACCGCTCCTCACAAATTATGAAACAACAGGTCATTAAGAAACACAAACTTTTAAAGAAAACTATTTTTTATCATTTTTATTTTTATTTAAAGGGTATTTCAACTTCCAGGTTATATTAACTCTCACAATGTTGAAATTAAAAAAACAATTTTGTTAAGTATGTCAGGTTTGAATGCAGGGCCACTGTACCTTAACCTCACTAATGACTGCCGTGTCAACGCCTTAACCATTGTGGCCTTTGACACCCCTAAACCAAAATTTAACAGTGATGAAAGCGGACAAAACAAATAAAACTGTAATTATATACAAGAAAGAATACATCGAAAAAATGAAAAGGATGTCAGAAAATAAAAATGTATATAGAGAAATATGGGAAAACCCAACAGAACAAAAATGCAAAAAGATTATACCATAAGTTTTTTGATAAACTAGTAAAATTTAAATTTCTAGATAAATTGGTAAAATCAAAATTAACTTCACACGCTGCAATACCTCCAACTCCCTATGGATTAATAAAACTCCACAAACCAGGAATGAATTTTAGAAATACAGTTTCAAATTGTCAAACTCCAAACAGAAACAATAGTAGAAAAGATAAACCATTGTTTAGATGCAATAAGGAAAATAATAATTATGATGTTAAAAATAGCATTTAATTAAAAGAAAAACTGAAAAATATAAAATTTTCTGAAAATTTCATTTTAGTTTCATTTGATGTTTAATAACATAACAATAAAACAAACAATAAGTGCAATTAATAAAAATTGGGTGAAAATTGAAAAAGATTCTTTTATAAAAAGTAAAGACAACTAGATGGGTTACCTATGGATGGGTTTGTGTCAGAGAATTTAAGTAACTTGGTAATAAATGAAATGTTAAATGAAAACAAATCATTTTTTTTCCATTTATAAATGTGTAGACCATTTAATGTTCCCAGTATGTAAAGATAGTGTAGTTGAATTATTAAACAAATACAGCACTAAACATAAAATTTTACAATTAATTTTCTAAAAAGAAATTACCTTCCTAACGTATGACAATAATTATTAATTAAAGTAACATTTTATAATTTAAATCATTTAAAAAATCATTGGTGGTAGAATTTGAAATTGTTTCTTTGATTTCTGATTATTTTCATATGTTAGAAGGATTATTTTATTATTAATTTTTTTTTTACAAAAGAATTGTATATTTTTGTTTGCCTGTCAAATTGGATGTCTTGTATGGCATAATTGTAAAAGACTGGGATTCATCCAAAACTATAACTAACAACTTTACACTTATTTAAATTTAGTTTTATGCCTTTGCATGAACACATTTTACCATTATCTTATAGCAAAACATCTTTATTTGTGGTATTTATATACAACTAGTCCTTGTTTTCCTCATCGCATGATGTGAACAATCTGTTTGATGCATTCTCTCTAATAAAATCGTAGAGCTTCCACTTGATTCGTATCTCAATGTGAATGCAATAATCTAAAAGAGGAAAGATTATTAATAATAATTAGATGTGAATGTAAAATAAGAAAAAAAGCACAATACTTACACATTTGTATACCAAAAATCAGAATTGCAAAAGCCAGTCCCGAAGCGCTGAAAAATTATTAAATGAAATAATAACTCATACTTTTTTTTATTGGTGTGTTACCTTTTGGCTTGTTGATGGATACTTAGAACTGTTTTTGACATCATAATTAAGCAGATGATGTGTATGACAGTTGGGATGTATGAAATCCGATATACCCGCCAGCACAACTAGTTATATTAGATGAAAAATTAAAAATCCTTTAATGAAAATAATTAACGCCTCGTGATACAAACATTCCAGAATGCATAAAGCACAATTATCGACCATGCCCAATTCATAGATGCCAGGGTCATCACCGCAATCTCTTAAAAAAAAGAGAACACATTCACATTTTCACATATGAAAAATTGGTAAATAATCTTACTATCACCAACGCTTATTGGGCCTATCGCACGTAAATTGAAATAGAATACGCAACAGTTAGTCTGTAAAAAAATTGCAATAAATTGAAGAAATAAATAAAGTGCATAGTAATGATGAAGAACGGAGTGAGTGCGGTGTTCAATCCTTTTTTTTAAAATATTAAATAAAGTGCAGGTCAATGAAGCACAAACAATTGCAAAAAGTGAAAAGTAGAATGTAAATGAAAAGTAATTAGAACAAATTAAAAAAATAAATAAATAAAATGGTTGAAATAAGGCAAATAGGAGATTTAGAGAACACTGAATACATAATATCAATAATATTTTATCTGAAGCACATACTTGATAAAAAAGGCCATGTGAGGTTGTTGACACATGGAAACTTACTTTTGGGTCAATGCTCGCATACATGTTCGCCATGCAGAGAAAGGTTGCTCGATGTGTCCCACCTAATGAATGATTTTGAAGGGTGTCATTCATTGGTTCCATATAGAGAGCAAGTAGAAATGTTACATGGTACGAGAATTCTCCTCAATTGGATTCGTTATATAATGTTTGGAGGGTGATGAAAAAATATTGCATATTTCACAGCTCTGTATGTAATTGGAAAGAAAATATTTAAGAGCAAGTGTGTTTAGATTTAGGGATGAAATGAACCCAACCTCAATGGTTGGATGGATAAGATCAAGGTCTAACACCAGACTGCCAAAATTAAGGTTGATGATTTTCAAAGCCCACTAATAGTTTATTGTGAATTGCACAAAAACTGGAATTGCCAGCAACTGTGAGAAGTGACAGGCTCAACTCTGTACATAAGTGAGCAGAATTAAGCTTATATAAATCACTAATCAGTTAATAAATTATTCTAAATTTTTTCCCAGAATATTATACATTTAATAAATTTAACCAACATATAGTTTTGCTATTTGAAAACAATTGGAATTTATGAAACCAGAAGTTTGGCTAGATCAGTATAAAAAAGGAGATTTTGTTGAGTCATGAGTTGGTTGGTTTTGTAATATATTTTGCAATAATGCAGCAGAAAAAGCTAATACTTGCAAAGAAAACCACTTGAATTTTTTCTCTAAATTATCTACTTTCTCATAGCTAATACCTGCATTAGCTCTAAAACAAGCAAACTCAATGAATTTCTCTTGCCATGCAAGGAGCTGAATTTTGTATACTGAAACTGATTAGGACTTACATATTAGAACTGTGGGGCACTGCTAAACTTTCCAACATCCAAGAATACAGTACTTCCAATCCAAAGTCCTTAGAACCATTTTCAACACTCCTTACTACATTTTCAAAATTACCTTCACAATGACTCTCCAAATACCCTTTGTTACATACCTACATAACAAATTTTTCAAATTCCATGAAAAACCATCCTCACATCTTTACCCATTAGCTTGTAGCAAGTCATTAGTACCCATCCCTACTACCCAGGAAGGCAACTGAAGCAGAGATGGCCCTGGGGCTTCATTACAAAAAGTACTTAACTAATTTTTCAGAAAGCTGGGAGAGCAATAATGATTTCTGGCTCCCCTCAGAATATATGTAAATGATAAATAATATTACGCTACAGCCGAGAGATAGCGTGATAGACTCTCAGCTGGTAGACCCCACGGTCATGGGTTCGATTCCCATTATCCCCCTTGGCTCTTTTTTTTCACACATCCCTTCCCCCCTCCCAAAAAAAGATGCATCACATATATATCTCAAGTTTCTTGGCTAATATGCAAACTTCATAAGGCCATTAAAACAAATAAATAATATTGCATCTCAGTAAACAATGTATATACTTTATACGGATGGTAATAAATAAAAAAAGTTGATTGAACAAATTTTACACTGGTAATCAAACTAAATTGGTTCAAAGTCACATTTTAACTGATTATTATCATTTCCCAAGAGCTGCACAAATTTAATTGTATTATTAAAAAAACTATACTGTTTCCATCACAAAGTTTAACATTTCCATTGTAGCTAATAAAAATTACATAATTATAATTTCATTTGGGGTCTGATGAGTGATGAATCTGTAATTTGGTCGTTTCTGATCATATGGGTTTGCCTATCCTCATTGGATCGGTCTGCCTCATGCTTTTGGTCTCCTGCCATCTTATCGAGCGCAAACTTGGTGACTTCTCTCGCTGCATGAGGAGCTGAATTTTGGATCAATTTCTAATGTTGATTTAATGTTTTTTTACCTTGTAATCAAACTAACTCTTTCAAAAATCATGTTTTAACTGATTTTTATAATTTTATTTAGAGCGGTATTGCATCTGCCAATGATTTGAAATCATTCACAAATTTTAACATTTTCATAGAATTGTATCAAAGAAAATGATAGAATTGTCAGATTTTCTTTTTGTGTCTGCTCAGTGATGTACTTGTAGTTTCTGATCATTTTGGTCTGATATTCTCCCTGTTTTGTCTTACTCCTTGCCATCTTCAATGGGTCAAGCTTGGAGCTTATTTTTTTTAATGTTCGATGCCTTCATTGTTACCTATCTGAAAAATTGTGCGATTTCCCTCTTAACAGTGAACCATGAAGTTGATGAGAAGCCGAAATGCATCTGACAGACAAAATCAGTAAAGAAAGGCAGACCAAAATGTCAGTAAATGACCTTTTGCTCCAATATATCTGGCAGTTCCCGATTGACCTTCAGGGGTTATGCTATTTAATCGTTAATCAAAATATTGTGCACACTTCTTATAAATCCTCTCCTTTACTATATAAAATAAAATCTTTTGACTCCATAGCTATTTTTTTTTTGTCACTCCAAATTATGTTCTATTTTTTGTTTGTTTCAACCATTAGGTAATTTTTAAAAAAAATTGATCAGGTGATTAGAGAAGTCACACATCAAAGTTTAAAAAAATTGTATCTGTTAGTTCATGTAATATTTCTCTATAAAATTGTACTTACTTGTGTGAAGACAAACTGTGTCAACACTTCGCCCCAAGGAAGTTTAGACAACTTTTCAATACAGATGGAGATTTTAAGTTTTGTAAGTCTTATGTTGTCGAGATTCATGTTCAACACGAACACAAGACAAAATCATAAGCAATGAAGTGACATGAATTCTGTCAATCAAAGAGATTAAGCCACTGTTTAAACGATAATTAAATTTTATGTTATTTTCAGTCCTGACTGGCTATTCTGTTTGAAAATATTGTTCATACACATTTTTTTTATTATTAAATATTAAATCATTACATTGTTTGGTTTTTGATTGGTCAGTTTGTTTTTAGTCTCGATAGACTTGATGCTGGTTGTTGGTTTGCGACTCATGCTGCACTGGTATTGTCACTTGTGGATGTAGATGTATTAGACATGATGCATATCATACTGCACCCTTTAAGAGCTATAGTATCCTCGTTCTGTGCTTAAAGCACACTGGTAAGTCCTAGTTAATCAAGGAACTTGATTAGTAGGCCCAGTTTAGTGGATTGTTACTTATTGGGTCCGTCTTCACCTTTGAGTACAGCATGACTCTACAGATTTGTTTGCAGGATTGAAATTTTCTTGGTCTCTGGGTAGAAATGTTTACCTTGTCAGGCCTTCACTGAAGCAAATAATGTGTACTGCTGTTTCCTCGTATTCTTGGTAGAAATTGCACAGGCTGTTTTCTTCCAGACCCAATATTTTCAGGTGCCTGAGTCACCCTTTGTTGCCCAGGTCCTTTTTAAGATCTTTTATTTTTCCCATCTTTCATAAATTTAGTTAAGAAATTTTTAACGAAGTATTTTTTCTGTTTTGGGAGTTGTTACACCAAGGTATGAGTCATTTGTTATCCATTTTGCAATTGTTTCATTTATTATGGCTGAAATTTTGCAATGTTCTGGCACTATTGGTAGTTTTGCTGTGGAACTCTCATGGCCTACTCGTTACCCCTGAACTTTTATAATATTCTGGTCCTACTGATGCTACTGAAGTTAGGAGAGACATTTTTGACGATGTCTTTTAGCTTTTTTTGTCCTGAACAGTTATAGGCAGATTACTTTTTTAATGTGTCAATAGATTTACCAGAATATGTAATAAATAGATTTGGGTTGTTGCTTACTCCACTCCTGACATTTAAGGGAGTTAAGACAGTCTCAAAAAGGCAATCCATATAAAATAAGGTTCTACTGTAAGGGTATTCACTTTGAAAATAATGGAAAGGATGATTTTTTTAAATTTGTTTATTTTTTTTTATGCGAGGGTATTTCCCCCCTGAGGTACAAGTGTTTTGAAAGAAAAACCCATAAAAGCCCATTTGTAAGCATGTCGGGTTCAAATGCAGTGCTGGAGGATTCGAACCCAGGACCTTTTGCTTGCAGTAATGAGCGCAGTATTAACGCCTAAACCGTTGCGGCCATTGACGCTCTTAAAGCTTTTGATGGTTTTTGTCTTTTTTATGTGTCCGTTGTCTTTACATTTTTTTCACATTAAATGAGCAGTTGTTATGTAGTAGTAGCTAGTTTGGTTTGTGATGAATGTACACCAGATATAGAATAGGCCTCAAGACGTTGCCATGTGAAACTCCAGCTTTCAAAAATTTATTGCATTGTACGTGATAGTGAACTCAGGATGGTAGGTTGACTTAGCAGAAAAACTATCATTGAAGCAATATTGTTTGTTTACAAATTCAATACAGCTGCCAACCAACCATTTGTATATTTTTAATATTTTTTTCAGATCACACCACTTTCAATAATTGAGTATTTTGATTTATTTATTTATATAAAATCAATCTTATACACGTGAACACACGAAATCGAACCAATGAATCACCTAATCCAGTCCTTTGGCGGTCTGGGGTCAGACCTCAGTTATCTGTACACAATCAAAGAGGCTCCAGGATTTATCTGCAACAGGGTCGTTTCAGCACCCTATGCATGCAGTTTAAACCTAAAAATTCTTGCATACATCAATTGAGGGTTGATGAGGTACTAGATATTTCTCCTTCGACGCTCTTGTACTATAGATACATTCACACTTATAAATACATTCTCACGAAACAGTTAAGGGTAAAAAGAGAAAGCCTCTTTACAGCCTTGCACACCGCTACCAATGTTGTTCTTATTGAATTCACTAATTTCGTATTCCGCTTGACCAATTAATATATTACAATTAATTAAGGTTTTTAGAGTTTAGATAAAAAAGTCAATGGCACGAGCGGGATTCGAACCCACGATCTTCGGCTTGATACGCCGCTGCTCTACCACTTGAGCTATCGTGATCCACTCGATCCACTCGGACACCAACTTCCCATCTCAGCCGCACCTTTTGAATTTTCCCTCCTTTTTGCCATTTTTCAAACGTCGTGTAATCGGGTTGGATTCTCGACGACAAATGAAATGGCCAGGGAGATTGTGGGTTCGAATCCCGCTCGTACCATTGACTTTTTTATCTCAACTAAAAACCTTAATTAGTTGTTCTTATTATTGCTGTTTTTATCGGTCCCCAAAGATTTTTAAGTAATTCTGTGCGTATCTTTCAGGCCTGGGTTTTTCATCTTCCGGAAGTACGAATCTCAGCCTTCGCCCCAACGAAAGACCTGACATGCTATATACATAAATTACAGATGTACTCGTTTCCTCCATCATAGGAGCAGGAGATGCAAAGATCCTACTCGAACACTTTTGTCAGATCGAGTAGTATACCTACTCGCTCTCTGTACGGAGCCAAGGAATGACAAATTTTAGTTGTAGTTAATTTTAGTTTAATATTTTTAGCAATATTTCTGCTCAGCCGGATATGTGAGCTTTGACCCAAAAGTCCGTGTTAACTTTGTATGGCCGATTCTGTGTTTGGATGGTTTAGATTGTTTGGGTATCTATCGACTTAGTGAGTATAGTTAAAAGAACAAATGGTAGATGTAATATAATACGTTATTTTTTAAATCTATATATTTTTCATAGTCGACATATGAATAATATATCTTATTATACTGCAATGAAACTATTCGTCCGTATCGCAATTCATGGGATACCTATGGCATTTGCAATCGCTTACCCAGTAACCCCAACTGACAAATCCGTAACTTCGTAAAATGTATAGAGCACAATTCGCCGCTACAGTAATGTCATCTGTCATAAGAGCTATGGAAAAAATTGGTGAACAAGTTTTTTTTTTCCAAAAGCAATAAATTACATACGTCTTGATGCTTACATTCGCAAGTTGTGTTGCATAAACCGCCCGTGTACTTGTACCGGCAGTATTGTACTTCTGATATCTAAATGAATAAAGTGTTTTGAAGTTTTGACCATTTAGTACAAGACTATTTAGAGGTGCGGTCTGGTGTGACGTAGGTTAAGAAAATCATTTTCTTTATTGTGCCAACGTTTCGATCTGTACTGAGATCATCTTCAGGGCCTGAGATTTATAAACATTGCTTAAGTTATAAAAATAAAGATGTTAAAATGAATTTATACATTGATGTACACAATATAGAAATTTTAGATTTAATAAAAGCATTTATTCAGAATAAATACTAACAGATAAATACTTTGATTAAACCTAAAATTTCTATATTGTGTACGTCATTGTATAAATTTATTTTCAAATCTTACATGAATTTGTATAATTTAAACAATGTTTATAAATCCCAGACCCTGAAGATGATCTGATTGAAGATTGAAACGTTGGCACGATAAAGACAATGTTTTTCTAAACCTACATCACAACAGACTGCATATCACGATCTCTAAATAGTCATTAATTAACGGTCACCAATACTACACATTTAGTATACGTGCAATTTTTACCTGAAATAAGCCGATTACTCGTGGACCACCTGCATATACCATTGCCCGTGCTTTCGAGGTATCAAATCCAGTTCCTCCGTAAAGTGTACACATCCCTAAAACATAATATAAATGAGAATATTCAATTAATTTATTATGTGTTTTTATATTAATCATGCAAAACAGATTTCACGAATTGAATTTTTAGTTTGTAATTTAAAAGTTTTTACCAAAAGACAATAGAGAAGAGAAAAAACGTACAATCTCGTAGGTGATTTTTGTTGAAATGATGTTTTTCTACTAGCTCCTTTGCAAGTTCGCATTTTTCAAAAACCTTCGATTCCGATCCACAGACGAGAGCCGCAATAATCACAAGAAAACCTTTGAGAAACCCCCTACAAAACAGTAAAAATTTAGTTTAACGCAGGTTTTATTCAAAATAAATTGACTTCACAACGTTACATGGCTGGAAAATAACGAAAAACTCTAAACCCATTCGTACAATCTGCATCCATTATATATAAATATTAAACAAACATTGAATAACACTTGTGTAAATAGGGCCCACCATATAAACTTTAAAATACGAATGCTTAATAATTCGAATTGAATTTTGTTAAACAAGTCAGTTAAAGTATTGTAATATTATTTATATATATTTGAGTATGAATTTTATAGTGATTTTTGTTAAGATAATATTCGAAATTAAATTTGGTTCGCTGTAGTAGAGCTTATTGAAGGTTTTAGTAGAAAAGTAAACAAGTCAAATTATTTATTAGAATGAACCTTGGAGTGTATTTGGGTGATCTTTTATCGTCTTTTTCATTAACAGAAATAAAAAATGGGTAGTTAAATAGATGTAACAAATAAGTAGATAGAAAGATAAGAAGAAAAAGAGTAGATTTCCTTTGTCTCCAGAGAGGCCATGAATTTTTAAGCTGATCGCCGATTAAAAAAAAATTGGCCATTGCAAATTCAGAAAAAAGATAAATATAATTAATTCCATAAAAATGTAAATTAAATGTATTTTATATTATATTTAGTCCGATCCTGTAGGTGTACCCTGATATATACCAGGAACTCTCTTTATAAATGATCAAAAAATCATACATTGTACATAAATAATGTAAAACATGGCAAAAAGAAGGAAATTTCGAAAGATTGTAGGTTCAGATGAGGATATGGTGTCCGATTGGATAGCTCTAGTGGTTAGAGAACAGCGGCGAATTGAGTTGAAGGTCGTGGGTTCGATGCCCCCTCGTGACACTAGCTTTTTTTATCTCAACCAAGACTTTAGATTAAAAGTATAATTAATTAAAATAATTGTACACAAAGTAAAACATGACTTTTATTTTACGCTGTTCTTTCTTTCGGACTGTTTTTCCAGGCGCTTCTCCTATATTAAAAGACTAAATCTTAATTCAGCCTGGAGTGGCAAATATCCGCATTCTTTCTGATGCCTTTAAAAAGAGTTTGGGAATACAAGGGAATCCCATCTGTGTGGAAGGTGAAGTGTTGACACCAAGGTCCCTTTTGGATTCTTGGCAAACACATTTACCCTTACTCATTTTCTCCAAAACGCGCCCGAACGCTTGCTCCTGCTTTAAATATTTATTAGACAGGCCCCCTAGCCGCCCCCGGCTCACCGACAGGGCAACCACAAGTGGAAAAACCTGGGTAAACTTTTACAAAAGGCCCAATCCTTTCTTCATATCCGGAGAAAAGTGGTCGTCTATTTTATATATATATTTATGTGACAACGCAGCAAAAAGGGTTACGATCTAGATGACTTTCACCATGGCAATGACGACCATCCACTTTTATCCGATTATCGACAATTTTATTAAACAGAGCCTTGATGTAGGATGTTAGGTAGATATAATCAAAATAGAAAGATATGAAAAACAACAAACACACAAATATTGTACGACTAACCTCAACAATTTTCCAAGCTGAGGTTCATGCAATACAACTCCGTGCACAGGGGTGTTTAAATTGCTTAATGACTGGGAAAACAGAACAAGATTACCTTAAAGTGGGTTCTCGGAAATGTAGATATAGTAGGAAAAGGCAAACCAACTGGTCAGACTGGTTGAAGAGGCAGCCCTCTCACCCATGGGACTAGAACTTCAACTAGGTGCACCGGAGAAGAGAAATTATACCTTTGTGAATCTAGGCACCTGTATTTTGTGTAGCTACTTGCACACCACGAAAAGTACGCGAGATGCTTCTATGAAAGAGCTTAGTTTTTGTGGGAAGAGCTTTCTTCTATATGGTCTTAATCATATGGGTTCCACAACAGACAATATGAAAAAATTAAGGAAATTTCACTCAAGTTTCCGTTTTCCTTGTTTTCCTCATAAGATCTGTACAGGTAAACATAATAATAATAATAAAAAACACAACCATTTCCCATAATAAAAAGGAGTGAAATTGCTTGGTTGAAAGTAAGCAATTATCTGAGTACAAAATGTATTTAAATAATTAACTTGATAATTTTTTTCTTGTGAACCTTTCATCAAACAAACTGGAGACCATGCCGCTAATTTCATCTTACTTACATTCACGTAAGCAATCTCTCTCTCTCTCTCTCTCTCTCTCTCTCTCTCTCTCTCTCTCTCTTTCTCTCTCTTTCTTTCTTTCTTTCTTTCTTTCTTTCTCTCTCTTTTTCGAGGGTTCACGACAGCAGAGGTTATATGAACCCTCGCGGTGCCGATGTTTTTGAACAAAAGCCCATTTGTAAGTAAGTATTTCGGGTGCCCGGTTCGAATGCAGGGCCGCTGGATTCGAACCCTGGACCTTTACCTTACAGTGATGAGCGCCGTATCAACGCCTAAACCGTTGCGGCCACCGATGCCACTATCTCTTATTTTTATTAAGAGAAATGGTTGTGTTTAACGGTTTTTTAAACTATTATTATATTTACCTACCGACAAAAGAAAATGGAAATTTCCGTTTAATAAACATTTTCAGCAAATTTCCTTAATTTATTAATATTTTTTGAAATCCTAGTGCCGTCAATTTGGAGGAGTTCCAAAGTTAAGATACTCATTTTTCTCAGAAAAAAATGTAGTTTCAGAACATTTGGGGTTCTCTTTTGAAATAAAAAAATTGACATCGACGTTGACGATACATGACGTCGAAAAAAAATTAACGTCGGTTTTGGAATCTTAGAAAAAATGTAAGTGTTATCATTGGTCACTTTATTGTATCTGTTCAAAAAATTGGGAAAACCTGCTGGCACATGTTAAAAAAGACAAACTGTACCTTTATTTAACATTTAAAATTTTGAGGGACACCAGAGCGTCACATTCCTACCCTAATTTCTATCAAAGTTCGTACACAATCAAAATTGTAACCATTCGCGATGTTGATAGTGAAAATAATTGAAAAACTCGAGCGAAACAAAGAATATGTAAATTAAACATGTCATAGCACATGAAAATCTGTTTAAAAAAATTATGATAAAAAGTTAGTTCATAGAAATTTTTTGTAGGAGATAGGCGGTAATCCATTAGATAATATGAAAGATTATTGATTTGATTTGATACATAACTTTCCAGGAAGGCGGAAATAAAGAACAAGTCAAACTCAAAAATGTTTATTTTTCATTTGCTATAAAAATGTGTAAGGGATACTTAATACGAATCCGAATTTTTCTAATTTTCTTCTACCTTACTCATGTTAACTTCATTCTGCAAAGCATATTCGATTGAATCGGGAAAATTGTTGTTACAAACGTGCATCTCTGTCTGTTACATAATTCAGAGCCTATGCGTTTGAGTTCTTTAGCCAATGTTCTCGGCCAAGTTCAGTTTTATTGCTTACATTTGACTAGAGCGTTAGGGGGTAAATTGTTCTATTTGGTGTAGAATTGACCCTTGAGGCCACATCTAATCTAGAAGCTGGTCCTCCAATTGACCCTGGAATGACCCCCGATTCTCCCGAGGGAGCGGGTGGAACCCTTATATATTTTATACCGCCAATTCTCCCTTTACGCTTCACGGCTCGACTTTATATTCAATTTCTCCCCGGGTCTCACCGCACTGGTCAGCTAAGACTCGGGTTAACCCAGGATTTGCATATCGTTCTCGATCTCCGGGGGGGATGCATGTGTAATTATTTAACTACCCTCCGGCCAGGGGTGAATCTACAGAACCAACTGTTTTGTATTGCAACTACTGAGAGAGTGTTACAAAAACAAAACAAGTGCTGTCCTTAGAAGTATTTAGTTCTCCCTTTGAACTTTATTTTAATGGCTTATTCAAAATTTTCGACCGTCACTTGCAAACTACCTCACAATTATTACAGTGATTTTCAATCAAATTTTCAATCGCATAGAATTGACAGACGATATAAAAGCATACTAGTGTTCACTGATCACAGATTATTCCGTTATAGCTTAAGACACCCACATGAAAACAATTTATAATCGCGAGATTTATGCTCAAGTCTTTTGTATGGGTACCAGGGTACACAGAAGAGTAAGGAGCAGAACGTTCAAAGGAAAAGGCCAGGAAAGTTCCTCAGCAACACAAGTAGGGCCAGAACAATGTAAAATTTCACGTGTACCAAGAGGAAGCTAGATCCTGGTAACTTTCAGGTGCACCAAAGAAGAAAGGAGGGGTTCCTTGGAACATTAGTAATGCCACAGAACAGTTTAGAATTTCCAAAAGTAAAGATGTGGCCAAGGAGGGTTCCTCGGCATCACTACCAAGGCTAGATCCTGGTAACTTTCAAGTGCAGCATAGAAGAAAAGAGGGTTTCCTAGCAGCATTAGTAGTGCCACAGAACAGTTTAGAATTTCCAAAAGTAAAGATGTGGCTAAGGAGGGTTCTTCAGCAGCACCATCAGGTCCAGAACCTTGTAAAATGTCAAAAGTACCAACATGACGTAGCTGTTCGTCAGTAGAACCAGCGAGACAAGAATTGCGCGAATTTAATCCTTCAAGGATCAAGAAGTAGCCAAGAGGGTTCCTCAGTAAGAACTTGTAAAATTTCAAGGATCAAGATATGGCCATGAGGGACCCTCAACGGCACCAGCAAGACTAGAACCTTGTACACCTTCAAAGATCAAGAAGTGACCATGGCGGTTTCAGCATCCCCTGCAAGACGAGAGCTTTGAAACATTTCAACGGTAGAATAAAGGAAATGAAGCTTCCTCAGCATCACTAACATATGGAGCCACTACTTTGAACATTGGGTATCTACTAGAAACTTAACATGCTTTATTTTTAAGAGGTTTTGCTTTGCTCGCAAGCCGAAGCAAGATTGATAAATGAAAAGTGAGAAATTTGCAAGAGATGGAACAGAGCGGATGGCGAATATAAAAAAATGTTGAAAATTTTAGGCTCGGAGTTGAAAACTTGAACGAAGCGCTTAATAAAAAAAATTAC